CAAAAAGTGAGCACCAAAAATTTGTAGTTTTGGTTGGTGATGGCAAAACTTATCGGCATTTAATGCAAATCAAGAGGCAGTATGGTAAATCACTAGAAAAATTACTGATATTTCCTGGTGATTGGCATATCTTAAAGAACTATCAAGAAGTTCTAATGAAGGTATATTATGTTGCTGGACTAAAGGAAATAGCAATAGGATGTGGTTACCGTGGTATGACATTACAGTCACTGGAAACTGCCAAATCATTTAAACGTACACACCAGTTTCTCCTTCAAACATGGGAGGCTGTGGCACATGTGATGGTAACACAATACCTGTTGGGAATTAAATGATGTTATTATTATTCATGTGTGTTAATTGGTGTTAATTAATATTATTTTTGTGAGCATGCGCAGTATGTGATGCTGTGCAGTTGAAGAGAAGAGAAGTAGACATTAAACAAAAGAGCCAGTTTGTGTGCTACTGTATCCAGAGCGATCGGACGGCCAGTATTTCGAAGTCCCTATAAAAGAACTCAGCATCAGCTATCGTACATTGGTCCACCGAGCCGGATAGGGACTAACAGTTGGACTGTACTGGACTGAAAGTGACTCGAACGAGACGGGTACAAGGAGAAAAGTCGCGGAAACCCGATTTGTCTACTGAAAGGAAGTTGAAAGGTATTCTCCGTCGTTTCAAGAGGGAGAGATCTTTGTTTATAATAAAACTTTGAGTGATAAAAGAGAGCTCGTTAGAGAGTCATTGTGCTAATTAATAATTATTACTTTACGTGGGTGTTGCGGCGTTGCGTATACGTGGGCGTATTAATTAATTATTGATGGCGGATCTAGAGAAGAAAGCTAAAATCAGGAAAGGATACAGGAACCTACTTACCAGACGAGTGAAAGAAGGAGATGAGCTTCTCAAGGGTATGGAAGAGTCAGGGGATATAGATCATGTGAAGCTTGGTCAAATTAAGTTGTCTGTGGGAGAGAAGTTAACAGCACTAAAGAAAGTTGATGAAGAGATTATAGAGTTAATTGATGATGGAGAGGCAATTGTGCGTGAGATTGATGAAGCTGATAGATTTAATGAAACAGTTTATGAGATGCTAGCCAGAGTAGAAGCAAAGTTGAAGAAATCAGTTGAGAAAGAGAGTGTATCTGCTTACAAGAGTAGTGTGAGAGCCAAGCTGCCCAAGCTTGATTTACCAGTGTTTAATGGGGAGATCACTAAGTGGTTTACTTTTTGGGACAGCTATAAAGCAGCAGTACATGATAATCCAGATTTATTGCCAGTTCAGAAGTTCACCTATTTGCGGTCATTACTGAGTAGATCAGCACAAGAGTGTATTGCTGGGTTAACTTTAACAGATGCTAATTATGCAGAAGCAGTCAAAGTATTAGAGAGTAGATTTGGTAATAAGCAGAGGATCATTGCCAAGCATATGGAAGCCTTGCTTCACTTAGATCCTGTATCATGGCAAGGGAATACTCTAGCATTGCGCGCTTTGTATGATAAGATTGAAAATCACGTGAGAGAGCTTGCTGCTCTTGGAGTTGAAGCAAATACTTATAATAGCCTTTTACCTTCTGTTTTGATGAGCAAGTTGCCTAGTGAATTGAGCCTAGCTATTAGTAGAAAGCTATCTGAAGATGATTGGAAGTTTGACAAGATTATGGAAGAACTGAGCCAAGAACTCCAAGCACGTGAGCGTACTTTGCCAAAGCCTGATAGTAGTAGGAGAACGTCTCATTTTAAGGAAAGCAAACCACAACGCGAGCGTCCCACGTCAGCGACACTTCATACTAGTATTACTCATTGTTGTTATTGTGATGAAGAGCATGCTCCAGAGTCTTGCACAAAAGTTGATAAGATAGACAAAAGAAAGTCTATATTGAGAGATTCTGGTAGATGCTTTATTTGTTTGAGAAGAGGTCACATAAGTCGTAATTGTAGATCAAGCATTAAATGTAGTTTGTGTAGTAATAAGCATCATACAAGCATCTGCATGAACAAGAGAGAGAGTAGCAAGGAAGGAGAGAGTGCGAAGCGGTTCAATCCCAAGGCTGATCCTTTCAAATCAGCTACTCTACTGACTGATGCCAAGGGAACTATACTGCTACAGACTGCTCAGGCGACTGTGCACAACACAGAGAGTACAGAGAGTGCTACATTGAGACTAGTGTTTGATAGTGGTAGCCACAGATCGTACATAACAGAAGAAGTGTGTCGTAAGCTTTCTTTGAGAATAGTTGGTAAGAAAGACTTGATCATTGCTACATTTGGGAACACCGGAGGAAGGAGGCAGTCCTGTAAGATTGCCCAAGCAGTTCTAGAAACTAATGAAGGGAACACATTGGTTCTCAATCTAATGGTTGTTCCACTTATTTGTGAGCCTTTGGTTGGTGTGTCACTCAATGACTGCATCAGAGGCTATGATCACTTGAAGGACTTAGACCTTGCAGATCCAGGCACTAATGGAGATGTCATTGAGCTGGATATTCTCATAGGACTAGACTATTATTGGGACATAGTATCTGGGGAGGTACTGCGAGGAGATAGTGGGCCTACAGCTACATACTCGAGTCTGGGATGGCTCTTGT